TGTGTGTGTGTGTGTGTGTATGTGTATGTGTGTGTGTCTGTGTGTGTGTTTGTTGTGTGTTTGTGTGTGTGTATGTGTGTATTCATATATATATATATGTGTGTGTGTGTGTGTGTGTGTGTGTGTGTGTTTGTGTATACTTTGTTGTTGACATTATTTTGACCTATTGTTGTTACCTTGCACAGGAACATCAAAAGAGAAAGGCTATGCTTAATACTAAAACGGCACATCTCAGACAAATCATAAGCCGAGGCGAGGACTACCGCAAAGCAATCGACCAGGCACAGAAGAAAATGCAACAGGTTCGACCCGTTTTGTGGGAAATGCGTGTAAAACGTTGTACCAGAAGTATATAACCTGAGTAGTGATTTATGTTTGTTTTTTTCGCAACTATGACAAAGGTGGAATGCGTATGTGTAGACAGATTTAGACAGGCATTCTTTGTAGCTACTTTCCTGGTATATTACCATCTGACAAACAATCGGCACACAACTCGAATATTTGTGCTTATCTTGACAGTCACCGAGAGCTTTGGCATTTAGTATCACTCCACGCCCATTCAGGTCAATGCCCTATGTCTTTACAATCTACCTTTAACACAAGTTTTAATTCCTTCTGGATTCTCGCCGATATTGTATTAAATTGTGGATAGAACATCACTTTCAGGTTGCTATATTTCGTGACCTCTCTCATCGACCCAATACCTTGAAACCCTAAACCTAAAACCTAAAACCCTAAACCAACCCCTAAACCCTAAACCCATTCAGTTATCGCCTAAACAAATTGTTGACAATTCGCATTCACACTAGTCATTAAGCCCTCCTTCATGTCACCGATATATCTAAGTTCCTGCCACATCACACATCACCTTCGTCTACCCATTTCCTCAATCCCCTCGGGGTTTTTTTCACTCATGCATTTTTATCAATACCACTCAACGTTCAGGTCAACAATAGACGAGCTATGAAAGTGCTGGAACTCAACAAGGTAGTCACCGAGTGTGTTTCCATCTACCACCAGTCCACCCAGACCACTCTCTTGGTCGCACAAATCAAGGTGAAGCGTGATCTTTTCGCTGGGAAGATGCGAGAGACTAACCAGTTGCTGCACCAACTGGAGGAACGTTTCAAAGTGTGCAAGACTAAAGTGGACGATCTCAAGGCTAAGTATGTGGCTACCGTATCAAATTTCAATGGCGATGCGTTCACTTTTGTTTCTGTTTTTGTTTCGTTTACTGTTTCCTGCGGCCAAACATGTTTGTGACGACTTCCTCGACTTCGTGTGCCGATACCTTGATTTTGTTCGTTTGTGGCATTTTATCTTATACCTGTAGTAAAATCTGCAGCTGCTTTACCGACGTTCCTTGCCAATACCCATTTCAAATGTGAGGTGTAAGGCACGGCTTTACTGTGCATCCTGTGTGTAGGGTTTGTGTGGTGTAAGTCTGTGATTGTGTATGCATATATATATATATATATATATATGCGTGTGTGTGTCTGTGTCTGTGTCTGTGTCTGTGTGTGTACATATATATAT